TTCGGAGGATGACGGTGGAAGTGGGAAGCTGAAGGTCAGGGAAGATCAAGCCGAGGACTGTGCAACTGGCGAAGCCTCCGTTGCCAGCAGATGTTTCTGGATTATTGTGCATCTACAGTGAATCTACAGTCCGTTGCGAAGATCGCAGGTCCATGTTCATTGGTTGGCTGATCCCTGCAATTCTTACCTGGAAAAGCGAAACAAACACTGGTGATCCATTTTTCTTTGGGATTCGTCAGTTCCCCAGCTTAGGTGAATCAGGATTGCGATGTCCAATGTATCCAATGTATCCAGAAGAATATCTACAATTCATTGTAAGTATTTGTGTTGATCCCAGGGTTTCCAAAAAGTGCTTATTTCATCCCTACTATACCCAGGATGATTATCTCAAATAGGCATCTGAACTTCTGAACCATCCCCGATTGGGGCTAAAAAAGACCCATGTTATGATGGGATACTCCCCAGTAAGCTAGCAATGTGGAGAATCCATCATTTCACCATGGATTTCACCATGGATTTCAATGGCCAGCTACCCAGAGTGAAGGGACTCCACCTTTTTTCAGGCCATATTCTGGTGTGGTATTCTGATATTTGCTTTTGCGTTACTACAAAACTACATAACTTATCTATACTTATCTCAAATCTTAGATACGGTAGGTGCCTCCCAGTTAGGTACCCAGCAAAACGTGTTCTTCAGTTGGCTTAAGTACTACTTAAGTACCTAAAATTATTGGACTGCCTATAATAATATAATAATATATACCTTATAAGAACGGAACAAATATACGGTCTTGTGTCCACATGGGTAGTACTTGTTCACAATTATACCTACTACAGTACCCCCCACACAAAATAGAAACGTTATGTTTTCCAATGGGATTTTACTTTTGAATCTGTTTGGTGGCCCTTCTCTTTGATATGAAACGCCCCCCAGAATCCATTGTTTAGTAAGGGATTTACACAGTACATATTTGGAACATTTTTGGAACCATACAATGGGGATGTTTAGTAGCGTCATGGGTTTAATTGCATCGAAAAAGATAAGCATAGTGGAAAATTGGTGTCCCAAAAAATATTTGAACATCTTGGACTGATGAATCAATTCCCACTCAAATCATCTTATAATCATCAACCCATGAATTCATTAGATCACCCAATTTCTGACGCTTTTTCATCCACAAAAAAGATCAACAAATATCACCACGAAATCATCATGATGTTATCCCATCCTATCTGGGTAAATTATAACGACCTCACTGCGACCTCACTGGAATAATGGTTAGTAAGGGGAATTGTCCAAATATGGTCTTATTTCAGGATTCAGGTTAGTGAATTAATATAATTTGCCCAGATCCTATTCAACTCCCCCAAAATCATCAAACATCTGCGAAAATTGGGAGGACTCCAGTGCCGTGGCCTCCAGATCCACGGATTCGGAGGAGGAGGCCAGCGGAAGGGCTTTGGCTTTGGATGGAAAATCGATAGAAAAACACAAAAAATTAGCGAAAATTTCATGAAATCGATGGAAAACTATGGAAAACCCAACATTGGGAGAATCTAAATATTCCCACATTTTCCACTGCATTTTCCATAGATTCTGAGAATCTATGGAACATGCCACGACTGAGAATCCATGGAAAATGCCATGGAAAAATATCAAAAATGCCATTTGGGCAAATTTGGGATGTTTTTTTCCCGAGAGCGTCTGAGCGCAGGGTTCTTCTAATAGTGGGGGTCTGTGAAACATCTTCTCATCTTCACATCTTCTCATCTTCACATCTTCTCATCTTCACATATCTTCCCATCTTCTCATCTTCACATCCTCACATCTCCACATCTGTGCATCTTCAAATCTTCTCATCTTCACATCTTCACATTCTCTCTTGCCCTCTTGCTCCCTCCTTCTTTTCTATTTCTCTCTTGAAGGCGCGACGCCACGAAATGCAACCCTTTCGCACGAAATGAGGTTCAATCGCCAACAACTGAGGTAAAATTGCGATTTCCGGGTTCCCGTCGCAACCCTTTCGCACGAAATGAGATTCGATCGCCAAAAACTGAGGTAAAATTGCGAATTCTGGCGTCCAATCGCAACCCTTTCGCACGAAATGAGGTTCGATCGCCAAAAACTGCGGTAAAATTGCGATTTGCAAAGCGTCCGGCAAACCCTTTCGTTCGAAATGAGGTTCGATCGCCAAACATGGAGGTAAAATTGCGATTTCTCGTGTCCGGGCGCAACCCTTTTGCACGAAATGAGGTTCGATCGCCAAAAATTGAGTAAAATTGCGATGTCATGGGTTCGGTCTCTGTGTGTGAAAGTGTTTGTGTGTAAAAGCTTCTGTGTGCGAAAGCTTCTGTCTGTAAAAGCTTCTGTGTGTGAAAGCTTCTGTGTGTAACTCTGTGTGTCAAAGTGTGTGTGTGTGTGTAAAAGTTTCTGTGTGTAAAATTCTGTGTATGTAAAAGCTTCTGTGAGTAAAAGCCTCTGTGTGTGCAAGCTTCTGTGTGTAAAAGCCTTTTTGTGTCAAACGTCTGTGTGTAAAAGTGTCTGTGTGGAAAACGTTATTGTGTAAAAGCGTCTGTGTGTGCAAGCTTCTGTGTTTTCCATTTGAAGTTCATTCGATGCCAGGTTGTGGAGCCCTGACACCGCGGAATGTTTCGATGTCAAGATGATTGCAAAAAGTATGTTCGTGACGTTTTGTAGTTGAAGCTGAGAGTTGAGACACTTGTTGAGACTTGTTGTAGTGCATCGGCAGAATTGACTGAGACTTTGTCGTCAATTTCGTCGACAGTGAATAAAGCTGCTGATCGCACACTTGCCCATGTGACAACATGAGGCTGCACGTTCTTGCTCACATGTGGGTTGCTGAGGTGGCCACGACAACGATGACTTCGCCGTGAGTGAGTGTGTGTGTGTCCTGGTGTCTGTCTGCGTGTCTGTTTGTGCGTCCCATGTCGGTCTCTTTGTCTGCGTGTATGTCTGTGCCTGTGAATGTGTGCGTGTATGTGCCTTCCTCTTTGTGTGCGCGTGTGTCTGTGCCTCTGTGTGTGCGTGCGTGTATGTGTCTTCCTCTTTGTGTATCTGTGTGTGTGTACGTGTTTCTTTGCTGTTTGTCTCTGTCGGTCTCTCAAATTTTGTATTTATCTTTGTCTACTTCTGCTTAGAATCTGACATAGTATTTCTATCTCCTTTCTGCTGGTCATCTGCATCATCTTACAATGTCTTTGATACTACTTACAAGAGAGTAACATGCTCTTCTACGCTCTTCGCTCTTCTGAGTGTAAACGCGTCTGTGTGTAAACGCGTCTGTGTGTAAAAGCGTCTGTGTGTAAAAGCGTCTGTGTGTAAAAGCGCCTGTGTGTAAAAGCGCCTGTATGTAAAAGCGTCTGTGTGTAAAAGTCTCTGTGTGCAAAGGCGTCTCTTTGTAAAAAGTTCTGTGTGTGAAAAACTATACGAAATTTACGATGCAAACTATGGTCTTGTGTTTGTGATATATTATCTTGATACTATTCTTCTCGTCTGCCTATAATACATCTTCAATATATTGTCTTGTAATATAGTGTCTCCATACTAACCACAGATGACTCTGCTCCTCTACGCCCTCGGCCCATCCGTCGTCTAGTGTTTTCAATGTTCTGTATTTTTTTGTGCTAGGGTGGCAGTTAAATTTGCATGCGGTCTGTTGTATTTCGGGGGTGTTGGCATGGTTGAACCAGCATTTTCCTTGAGACAGTTGAATCGTTAGGGAAATAGCTGAAAATTGATTAGACACAGAATTGAAACAGATTGAAACCCCATGTTTCTGATCAAATATGGAAACATCGAGAAATAAATCGCGAGAAGTCTATATATAATCATATACATATACATATATATATATATGTGTGTGTGTGTGTGCGTTATACATATACATATACACACATACACACACACATATATATATATATATATTTATAATAATATATATATATATAATTGTGTGTAGAAATCACAAATATGGAGGTGATTGCTTGCCAGAGAAAAGTGAGAGGCAGCATCGTGACAGATCCACTCCGGGGATTTGCATTCCCGGACGTTTCGAGGGAAGTTGCATAGCAAAGACAAGAACATAAGATTAAAGGGAGTTTCCATAAATGGGGGATCCCCAAAATTGTTGCTTTATAATGGAAATCCCTATTCAAATGGATGATTTAGGGGTACCCCCATTTCAGGAAACCTCCTATATATATATATGTATAATATAGATAAATAGATAAATATATATATATATATACATATTTGTATATCATATAGCAAACTAGGGAAGGTGCCTATTGAAACATGTTGGCCACCAATCTCAACACCTGACAATGTCGTGAACTACACGCTTAAAATGCATCAATGCATGCCACATGGTCAGGTCGATTTGACACGAGCTGCACCATGGCTACCCACTGGTGGCTGCATGCAACATTCAGAATCATCCAGCACGAATTTCCCACCGCTAATCTAACAGTTTGCCATGAAAAATGGTTCATTTACTTCGATGGTGTACCTATTGAACATGGATGAAAATGATGATTTAGTCAATGTTAAACGATTTTGTTGAACGCTTATCAGGCTTATCATCATCTTTTGGCTAGTTCAGTCACATTAAATCACCATATTAGGATGATTAAATCGCATTAAACCATCACAAGAGGGCACCCCGAATCCTGACCGGTCAGGTCGCCATCACAAGCTCTGGCGCTTTCGATCCAGGCAAGGGATCCTTTTTTTTCTGTCGTTGAAACTTGGAAACTTAATGGACCCGGCATGACCCGGCCCTTAATCGAATCGTTGATCATCAAAGCGGACCTGGTAGTTCGGAAAATCATCAAAGCCGCAGTTTCACGTTGTTTTTCTTTTCTGACTGTTGATTCTTTTCAGATTTTGGAGTTTTTTCCATTGGTTTCCCGTGGCTGAGAGAGCTGAAACTGAGATCCAGGCGAATTCGGCTCTGCTATGTCCAAGGCCTCATTTGCCTGTCAGGGTGAATCAGGGGGATCAGGGTGGCTGGTGGTTTCAGCATTTTCACAGATTTTTTGATAGGTCTTGATAAATTTTTGATTTGCCATCCTGGGAAAGATGGTTTCGACTATGCCTCTTTCAATTGCCAGAGGGCATCAAAAGGCCAAAACCACACCAGATCTTCAGCAGACGAGTGGGCCCATTGCCGAAGCCGCTTGAGGGCCCAAGGCTGCAGGTTTTGTTTTCGCCGGCAAAGACGGCGGGCTGCGACGGCTCTGGTGAGGCCAGATGAATATTTTTTTTCAAGGGTGGATACGTATCACTAAATCGAGGAATACAACAAGAAATATGAATGTGTAGGGCATCTACCTAGACGCTCCAAATACCCATAATAAATAAATGGATAAAAATTGTGTTTGACCCGATTATCTAAGTTACTTTAACCATTGTTTTGGGATATTTGGAGGGTCTAGGTAGGATATGATGTTGAACTATATACGTTGATTGTTTTTTGGGTATGCAAAATTTGCCATGAATGCGATGGCATCATGGTAGGACGTTGCAAAAATGCCAGTGAGTTCTGATCAGCCATATGATTCAAAGTGGTTCTCAAAGTTGTTCAACATGTTTTTTTCTCAAAATTCTTCTGGAACCAAAGCCTGCAGGAAAAAAACACACCCAAAACAGATTGAGTCCAAAAAATTGCACCTGCCATCACCATGTGATTTTTTACCTTTTCTTCAGGTGGGGACACCATGGGGTGTCCCCCTGCGGCCGTGGTGCTCCTATGGCTGCTGACGGCCCGGACGGCTGCAGCACCTTCAGCGCTACCGGGCCATTCCATTGTCAACCCGCCGGACATCAATCTCTTAGCCAAGATGTGGCAGCTCACAGGTGGGAAAAACATCTCTAAGTTAGGAGAAATCCATTGATAATTCATGATAATTCGTCAGTTAAAACATGGAAAAACATCGCCCTTAAGATTTATGTCATCAGTTTTGCGAAGTGGAAAAGCACCAATGTTTTGCATAGGTACATCATGGTAAATCATCGAAGTAAATGAGCCATAGCATCATAACTATTTTTTAATTACCAGAGGATAGATCATCCAAACAGGATCACATAGGTTTGGGTCAAGAAATTAGCACAGAGAGAACTCAAAAACACGGCTGGAGGGGGATGCGTCAGATTACATACATATATAATACATATAATATATTTGTTCATATATTCTCTTGTGGGGAACACCATAACTACCAGCGATTTCGGGGTGAAAAACGATGAACAACGTTTAAACGTGGTACCAATGTTTTTCACGGTTTTTGACCCTCATTCATGTGGGAAAAAGCTGCAAAAAACCGAGTAAACTCCTTCACTTCATCTCATTTCTGTGTCGACCCTGACAGGATGAAAATGGGAATCTACATCAGCTAGTAACAATGCCGGGTATCTGAGATTGGCCATGACTTGTTCCTTCATCATGGGAAAGGCTGAGAAAAATTGAAAAAATAGGTGATTCTTAAGGCTCCGATGAACCAAGGTTAATCTGACTAGACCAGCTCAGTGGCATGGGGCTGATCACTAGAAAAGTTGCTGGAAGGCACGACTGCACACATCAAGCCATTCAGTCATCACAGGGGTGGGCCCAATTCAACCGCGGGTGGATGGATGTTGCTGCTCCCGGACGTAGTGCTAACAAAAATATTATGCCTACGACAGAGCACCTGTTGCATTACATAGATGCAACAAAAGAACATATCAAACATATTCAAACATAAAAATTGAAATGGCACTCTGAGTACCATACAAGAGTGGCAGGGTCAGTACAAAGGCTGATGCAACAGTTGATGCAAAAGTTCAGGGTTTTCCAAAAACTTGATACAAAAGTGCAAGGTTCGACAAAAAATCGAACCAACATCGACCAAACATCAAAAAACATCGAAAAACATCGACCAAATGGGCAATGGCTGAGTTGAAACATCACACCTATAGATTGTGGTTGAAGATGACGCACCCAAAATTTCGACATGTCACGCTGATATTGATGACTCACTGGTTCTTAAACATGAACGGTGGCAGATTTTCTCCCCCAGAGTATATCACCATATTTTTCCAACAGGCCAGGCTGCCAGGCTGCAGTGACTGGGTGATGTTCCCTGTCGCTGAGCCAAGCTGAGCCATGCAGGTACTGCTATGCCGAGTCATGGCAGCTTAATCCTGACCCCTGGCGTTGCGGATCGCGTGGGTACCATCTTTAGCCGCTTGGACCATCGACGTCGAAGTCGGTTGTTGCTGAGATGAAGGACTTGGTTCAAGGGAAAACTTCAAGGGAACACCTTGTAAGGATGTTGAAGGATCAAAGCCATCGGTTGGTCCAGCGACATGGAAATGATATGAAATGATGGGCTGGAAGTCTGGCTTTCTGCTAGACCCTCCAAATGTCACCATCTTGAGAGACTCAGTGGCTGGCCACGACAGTGCCCAACAACTCACATTAGCCATTGGAATCCAATCGGTGCCACGAAGAAAGAAAGTCCCAAGGAGAAAACTTGCTCATGGAGTTATTGTTTTTCTTACAGTTTATACCTGAATGCAGCTTGCATTGTTAGTTCACATCATTTCCATAGTCGTCAGCCTATAGTTTTCCATAAGTCTAACTTATGATACTTATTGTATGGATGTTATGGAAATTGCTCATTGCATCCTACTAGTTGAGGATATCCAGGCCCAGTGATCATTCGCCCTTGGCATACCTTGCCGACCCGGGCAGGTCGAAGTGCTTTGAAGACCAACGACTTCGAGGCTCAGTTCACCATCTCGGCGAAGCCGGGCATCAGCGGTTTCCGCGGTGATGGCTTTGCGTTTTGGTACTCTGAGGAGAGCACCGGGTATAGGGAGAGAATGCGGGGCTGAGGACTGGGGTTTTGTGGCCGGGATTAAGAGCTCCGTGTTGTGGTCGGTGGCACATGGGGCAAGATGATCCGTCACCTCCACGGAATTGCTCGTGAGGGCTTGCAATAAAGGTGCTGAGCATCTAATCAAAATCCCTTCCCCCTAATATTACATGCCCCCCAGATCCCCCTGGAAACTGTTGTTTATAATATTTGATTTGTTCATCTTGGGTGGCCATATAATAATGTCAAGTTCGAATTAATCACAACCCCCAGAAGGTAGGTACCTAGGGAGAAGGGGTTCTGGTAAGGTCCTTCCCCTAAATAATAGACCTCCTAAGTTGAAGTCATAAGAGATCGACTTCCAATTGATAACAACCTATATACGTTAAATTGATGTTCTTTTTATATAACCCTAGAAGAAATCTAAAACAGATTAGTATTGATGAACCAAAAAAAACTTGATGTCCTCTGTTGGGGGTTGATTAATTGGGATGTACACCCCCCGGTATATTCTGGTATATTAATCAGGGGGACCAACCCACTTTAGTATTGCCAAAACATTTTTCTTGTCCGGGGCTTGATTGGGGGTATTTCATACTAGGGGGATAGGCTAATAATTAGATCTAATTGGCTACACGCAGACCACCATGCCTTGGAGACCGCTACAGCATGACAGGAGAATGCCAGCGATCTTCTTAGTGCAGCGAGCACAAAGCATAGCCACAATCAAGATGAGTTGATTGCGGGGACGTGGCACCTTAGATTTTGGAAATTAATCTGCATGGTGGCTCGAATGATTCTTGATGTGTTCATGCCAACTCTTGGTTTGTTCATACCATATTTTTTGGGGTAGTTGCAATTTTTTGGCAGGTTGGTTGCTGAAGCTTTTGGATGCATCAAGCTGTCCCAACAACAAGTTCAATTTAAGATACCTTCCAAGAATCAAAGATGACAATGGGAAATCCTTCATTCAGTTCAATGATTTTCCCATTAATATTGAAACCTTCATTGAGTTCGGGGATTTTCCAGCCATGTTTGATTGCCTTGTGGACGGCATCTCAAGGTTGCAGATCCGCCTGATGCGACCCATGCCACAAACCTACCATTGGGGGACTGCTTTTGCTAATCATCTATGGGAATGTTGTGGGATGGTGTACAATCTGGTTTGCCACATTACAATGTTTGAACATATGTGCCACATACTTTTCCTGAACAGTCCTCATTATTTGCGGACATTTTGTGATGTAGATATTTAATGTATGTATATATATATATATATATATATTAACAATTATCCTGGCAAGAGACCCCAAACACTGTGGGAGTAACAGGATAATGTATTTTAATGTTGATGATGATGTTAATGTTGACGATGATATTGATGATTATGGTAATGTTGATGATGATATTGATGATGATGTTAATGGTGGTGTTGATGATGATGGTTGATGGTGATGTTGATGATGATGGTGAGAATGATGATGATAATGATGATGGTGATGATGATGATGATGAATAACAATATGATGGTGATGATGATGATGATGATGGCGATGATGATGATGATGACGATGATGATGACGATGGTGATGACAACGGTGGTGGTGGTGGTGATGATGGTGATGATGGTGATGATGGTGATGATGGTGATGATGATGATGATGATGATGGTGGTGGTGGTGGTGAGGATGATAATGCGGAAGATGAAGTGGATAATGACAAGGTGGAGGATGATGATGTAGAGAAGGAGGAGGATAATGATGTTGAGGAGGATAGTGTTGAGGAGGATGACGAAAGGATGATAATGTTGCGGAAGATGAGGTGGATGATCATGATGTTGCGGAAGATGAGGTGGAGGATGATGATGTTGAGAATGATGATATCAAGGGAGAGGAAGATGATGATGTTGATGTTGAGGAGGAGGAAGATGATGATGTTGAGGAGGAAGACCGGTCCCAAGACCAGGAAGCACACTTTGTGCGAGCCTGCGCGGTCGAAATGCGCAACACATGTCACAAGAGGTACTTCATAAGGAAATTTACAGGAAAAATGCCGGGGCCCAGAACCGCGACCCACACTTTGTGCGAGCCTGCGCAGTCGAAACGCATGGCAAGATTTCACAAGAGCCACTTTATACGGAAATTCACGGGTAAAATGCCGCAGGCCAGAACCGCGACCCACACAATGTGCGAGCCTGCGCGGTCGAAACGCATGTCATGATTTCACAAGAGCCACTTTGTACGGAACGAGAACCGCGACACACACTTTGTGCGAGCCTGCGCAGTCGAAACGCATGTCAAGATTTCACTAAGAGCCACTTTACACGGAAATTCACAAGCAGGTAAAATGCCGCAGACCAGATGGAGCACCCTGATCAGGCACCCGCCTTTACTCCTACTGTAAGAACCCCCCAATGTGGACACACTGTTTGGAGAAATATATACATACATATTTCTCGAAGGCGGTGGAGAGAGAGAGAGAGATATATATATATATATAATATGTAGGTGAAGGGCTTTTCAACCAAACATACCAATCCAGGGGGCACATCATGATTTCTGCAATTTAAATTCGATGACTACAGGTACAATCATTACGTCAAGCTAGATCTTGGGGAAGTTGGGTACAAGACCCACTACAAAGGCCTTGGTGTGCCTTGGTCTTTGCAACAGTCCTTGCAGGCGGTGATATCATCAACCCACATCCTTGTACCAATGGGGTTGCAGAAGCTCCCGAATACTGATACCCTTTGGTAATCAACCGTGGCACGTGGAAATCCCCTGAATGCAGGGTCTAATGGGAAAATTATCTTTAAATAATGGTGGATGTTCCATTGCCACGCTTGATTAGAGGAGTGTAGTTTGGCTTAATGTTGGCTCTCTTCAAGATGGTCCTGTTGTTGGGAGTCACATGTCGTGCTGGAGGGGGAGCTTGCGGTGGCTTGTAGGCACGCCAATTCCAATTTGTTGGGGAGGAAACAAATGGTTATATGTTGATATTATGTTGGCTCGTGCTTGCTCATTTCCACCCCTGGAAATGGGATGAAGACCTTTGACAGATTTGAGAAGGCATATGCGTACAGTGCGCACATGCATTTACTAGCAAAATACAACAGAATGGGTATCACCAGCAATCGTGGTTAGATGTGGTCAGGTTGGAAACCATTCAGTTTGGTGATGTTTTTCTACTGAGATCTATGGGAGCGAACCTGCTTCCAGGTCTTCTTCGTGAAAGATGAGCAGGGCCAAAGTCTCCTCCGAGTGCATTACGGGGACGGCGAAAAGACTGCCTGGGGGCCCTTTGAGCGGATGGGATTGGGCGGGCGGAGGTTCAGAATGCTGATCCCCCCAAAGGCCCCAAAACCTGTGGCCATTGGGTTTTCGTGGATTATCCCATACCACCGCGCGAAACAGTTTTGATCAACTAGCGGGAGCTAGCAACTTGACAGCCCAAATTTAGATTGAACTCTCAGCAATGAGGGTTTCAACGATTAACAGATCAAAATTTGGGGCTGACGGGATTAGAATTGGGTACGCCCAGAGTGAAAAGCTTTAGCACATTTCAGCACTAGCCTTGACTATATACACACACACATATATATATATATATAATGAAACATATTCAAAAATCTGCACGTGCCCAAGTCTAGAATTTGGCCCCCCTGAGTCCGGACTTCGACAACCACGCTCCCCAAGGCTGAAGAACGTAGAATGAAGTAGTATAGGTTGCGGAGCCATTGGCGACACTTGTTTTTTTTGGTTGAATTTGTGATGTAGTTGGAAAAATCGTCGGGCAATGCGTTGTGATTAAATACATTGCCATCACAAAGAAATACAAGCATGTGGCCCAAATCTGTGCTCAAAACCAGGCGGGTACCGTTGCTAGTTCTGGCAAGATCTGGTAAGCCCATGTGTTGATTAGATATTCGAAGGAAATTTAGAAGTCAAAATTCCGACAATATGGACAGATGAAAAGCAGAGATGGGAAGAGTCAGAGAGGAGAGAAGAGTAGAAGAGAGAAGATCAGAGAAGAGAAAGAGTCAGAAGAAAGAAGATGCAGGTGCGCGAAAAGGTAGGAAAGTCGCGAAACACTTTGTTTTTCCAATGATTTGTGGCTCCGGAGGGTCGAAAAGAAGGCTCGCTAAAGCGGCGGGTGCGGAGCCAGCTGGCCAGATGAGCGATGAAAAATTGCACGCCGTTGTGGCGCGAAGCACATTTCGAAGTCAAAATGTACAAAACACCTCAGCGTCGGACCAGGTTGGAAGTCGCGATGTCGAAAAAGTGCACGCTGTTGTGGCGCGAAGCACGTTTCGAAGTCAAAATGTACAAAGCACACCAGCTCCGGACCACTTTTGGAAGTTGAGATGTCGAAAAAGTGCACGCACACCAGCTCCGGAGACCACTTTTGGACGTTCAGATGTCGTTTCGCGTGGCAAGCGCAAGGGATTTTGCACCTTCTCAAAAGCAAGCAAAACGTGAGGGTTTGCAGCATGTCCAAAAACGATGGCAGGCGTGGCACATTTGAAGAGGATCTGCAAAGATGCATTTTCCGTGGCAGGCACAGTACAAGAGACATCTTCATCAGAGCTGTTAGCCTCAGATCTTCAAGTTTGCTGAGATGATTTTGCGTGACAGGTGCCGCACTTCGTATGACCTGGCATCACTTTTTCCTGGCAGGCGTAGTAATTTAGACAGATGGAGTGGAAACATCGCAAAACGCATTACGAGGCCGTCAGCTCTGCACTCAACTTTCCATTTTTGAAGGACGTCTCGCAGAATTCTTTCGTTTTTGATGTTGTCAACTTCGAAAAATGAGGAAGTGTTGCAGAATTGCTTCGTTTCTGACGTCGTGGAAATTCAAAAATTGAGAAATTCTCGCAGAATTGCTTCGTTTTTGATGTTGCCAACTTTGAAAAATGACGAAGTCTCGCAGAATTGCTTCGTTTTTGACGTTGTCAAGTTCAAACATTGCGGAAGTCTCGCAGAATTGCTGCGTTTTTGATGTTGTCAAGTTCAAAACATTGCGGAAGTCTCGCAGAATACCTTCGTTTTCAAGCTTGCAGATAGACAGGTAGATAGATAGATAGACAGACAGACAGAGAGAGAGAGAGAGAGAGAGAGAGAGAAGGAGATAGATAGATAGATAGATAGATAAATAGATAGGTAGATAGATAGATAGATAGACAGATAGATAGATAGAGAGAGAGAGAGATAGAGAGATAGAGAGATAGAGAGATAGAGAGATAGATAAATAGATAGGTAGATAGATAGATAGATAGACAGATAGAGGGATAGAGAGATAGAGAGATAGAGAGAGATAGAGAGATAGATGGATAGATAGATAGATAGATAGATAGATCGATCGATAGATGGATAGGTAGCTAGATAGATAGATAGGTAGATAGATAGATAGGTAGATAGGTAGATAGATAAACAGACAGACAGACAGACAGACAGACAGACAGACAGAGAGAGAGAGAGAGAGAGTAGGTAGGTAGGTAGGCAGGCAGGCAGGCAGGCAGGCAGGCAGGCAGGCAGGCAGGTGGGTAGGTAGGTAGGTAGGTAGGTAGTCAGAGAAAGAGAGAAAGAAAGAGAGAAAGAGAGGAGACCTCAACCACCTGTCGGTCCATCAGTGGATTCGCTCTGCCATCCGTGATTCACAACAACCAACCTCCCCTATAGGTTTCCTATTTCTGAAACTTCCGCCACCGCCTTGCGCGGTACTATTGGTAATGTATATTGTATATCGTGTATGAATATACAAGATAAGATGAGTCACCATGTTTCACCTTTTTTTCCGGCCAGTTTCCCACATAGGCTGGATTGTACCCATCCCCATTTCTGAGAGCCCAAAAACGGCGGTTGAGCCGCCGCGCCCAAGGTGGGTCAGCAGACGGCTCTGGACATTCGGAACCTTGGGTTTCAACGTGATCGACTTCATGGCTTCACCATGCACCAAAGATGATGCTTAAGATATGGCAATATGATGCAATATGGCTGTGTCTGAAAATTTCCTATGCCTTCGAAATATCCATTTAATATGGAAAACATGTGGGAAACTGGACGGGGAGAGAGAGAGAGAGAGATATATATATATATATATACGTATGGGAAACTGATATATAAAGCGGTTTATTTAAGTATGTATATATATATATACGTATATGTATATATAATAAACCAACAATTTTGGGCGTTTCCTGGTAAATGTGGTAAACCCACTAATAAAGCATCTCCCGTGGAGGTTAATGAAATTGGGTATGCTCAGTATAATTACCCCTATTTGGGATGATGTATGTCATGACCCCGACCCCTTTTAATGGATGGTTAATGAGGGATTGTTTAAGTTTGGGTACACCACATTAAAATATGTCAATATTGGGCAAGCCGGGCCTGAAATTTTGGGTGATGTGTGATGTACTTTGCACAGCTGGAACAAGTATATAGAAGAACTGGGTTTGGCAGGTGGTGCTCCTTTTGGACATGGTGAATTTTGGGATTCCACTTCAGATTGTGGGGCACGAATGCAAAACCAGATCCATACACGAAAATCAACGCGGGTTTCTCGTCAGATACAGGTGATCACGGATGAGTTGGCCATAAAAGTCTGACAAACCCATAGATCATCATATTTTTGTTTGTTCTCTTGGCAGGCGCTCAGCATCTCAGGAATGGTGAGGACCATTTAGTGAAGATCCGAGTGACCCCGGACACTGTCACAGTCACCGTGGAGAGTACCTTGGTGCCGCGATAGGAACAGCCAAACCGAAGAAAGGCCTGGAAATATGAACGGATGAAAGGTACACTCTGGTAAACCAACATAGCTATGGAAATCACAATTTTTCATAGGTAAATAATCTATAAATGGGCCATGTTCCACAGCTATGTCAGTTTACTGCAAGGCATATAGCAGGAAGTAATCCTGGATTTCCAGCATTTTTGCTGCTGACGAAAATTTGTTTCCAATGCAGCGTTTGGAGAATCTTCAGGGAACAACCGATGTATTGCACAGTAGAATGAATGATTTTTCCTGGAGTTGAATTTCTCATCATTTTGGCATGTTTTCATGCGTGTGATATCGTATGATCCATGGAATCTATGGTGGGATGGTTTGGGTATAGAACCAAAGTCAGTTTTTCACACCAAGGTAAAGGAGAAACTCGAGCAACCGTGTCTTCAGCCATGCGTCTTGGCGTGGCGCTGGCAAATTGCACATCAGCAACGAACAAAGTGTTTCCTTGCTTCTGAGTTTTGTCCTTGGCATATGCACATGGAGAAAAAATATGCCAGCAAATTTCTCAATGTTTGTCTGAGTTTGCTTAGCTGATGTTGTTCTAACCCCCTTTTGTGCAGCATCTTTGCCGTCGCTTCTGAGGAATCTGAAGTCCGGTGGCTTCATTGGTTTCTCCTGCTTCGGTGGGACCAAGGTAGCAGGGCCACTGATATCCACCGATCACTACCGACTACCGTTGGAAAATGGAAGAGTTGTGTTTTGTTGTGTTGTTTTTGTCCTCAAATATGTGTCAAAGAATACCATTTGAACCATTTGGACGATTTTTGGACGATGGGTAATGTTTGCTTCTGGTTTTCCATGATTCATAAAGTATCACGAATCATAAACGCAACTCCACAAGATATGAAGAAACTTGTCAGCCATGCCAGTCATTTTAGTAGGTCGGCAACAGGGTCTAGATATTTGTTTCAAATGTATTCCTTGCTCCAAAGGAATGGAGACAGGGCTGTACATGACTTGACTCTTTATGTCTTGGGGTTCAGAGCCTATTTCGGTCCCCATAAAGTTTATGAAATATCTGCATATATATATGATCATATATGCTTTATAGTTTCATAGTTTCATAGTAGTTTCCCTTTTTCATGATATTTCTCTTGACATGGCTGACAGAGTCCGCCAAGCCGCTGGGCGCAGGAGTCCTACAATCCCAAGGAACGCAGCGCTTTCGTAGAGATCAAAGGGCTTCAGGCACGGTGCGCTATTCGCATCAGCTTCCTGCAGATTTTCCAGAAGCCAACCATAGATTCATCATGATTTATTGAAAGTGGTTTCCCCAGCTGAGCGTTCACCTGGTGGCAGTTCAACCTCAAAAAAAAACTGGCCCAAACGGTCCTGGTGTGTCTGAGACGCCCCCACGGCCATGGATACAGGTCCTGAATCATGCCGCGGGGCCCGGTGAAGATGAGATGCCCAGCATGGACCCTGGGGCCCCTGCGCCACCGCAGGGGGAGAAAGAGGATGTGGCTCGGTGATACCGCAGGGGGATCGGCCGGGGTCGAATGTCAAGAGGAGAATCACGGTGAACATCGTATTTTTCATTTTGGAATTTTGGAACATATTTCATGGGGAGGATTGAATATGGGATATAATCTTGGGATATAAACATAGATAATCAACAATCTGATATTTGGTTGTGTCTCAACTGTGGTTAATATCCCTTATAAACTTAGGAGTTTGAGAGGGGACATGATTATTCACTGATTAATCAGTAGATTTTGTTTGGGACTATTTTCAGACAAGCCCATAGGGCAACCCTAAAAAATAGACAAGTTGGAAAATGCTAGAAACATAGAAATTATATGAAATTATGAAGGACACATAAGGAACATCATCTACAACATCCTGGAGGGACTATTATTTTTTGACGGGCCCCTAACATTCTGCGCATTTTCATAGTACCATGTGGGATCATGTGGGGCCCCCACAAGAACAGAACCAGTACTGAACTAGGATTTATGGTGAGTAATTTCATATCAGAGGGGAGGTATTACATATTCATGGCGTTGTTTAATCACCTGATAGCCCCACACGGTGTTCTTGCCTGGTTTGCATTTGCATGCATTTGCTACAGCATATTTATATGCAGTGCTTATAACTCTATGCATGCATGTTTGAGATTATTTTAGAATGTTTTAGATCATGTCAACCTCTGGGCTGTTGAATGGGTGGTTACCATTTTTTGTAACATATCATGTCATTTTCAAGGTGACTCCCCCAATTTCACAGCGAGGGTTCATTGATTCTAGGTTGATATATATATATATATATACATTATGTACATTCTAGGTTGAGATATATATATATATATATTCATTTGCATATATCACTATATATAGCTCTCGAATTTGGTTGATCACTGGGGGGTCCACCCGAAATCTCCCAAAGCGCCAAGGTGTTGGGAGCTCATTCCAGCTTCAAAGAGCATCGGGACGAATCCGAGGCTGGGATGCTTCAACTGCTCGAGGTATGTCAAGGTTGGCTGGACACATCGCTACCAGGCTAGGTGGTTAAGAACCATGAGAGGAAGGCCTTGGTGTCCTTCATTCTTGGCATCGTGGTTCGGAATACTCCAGGTTTACATCGTCATGATCTTCATGTTTCTTGCTTTCACCTTTCTTGCTTAATGTCATGCACCTCGGACCTAGCCTCACCTTGATTTTGGATCGTCAAAACTCGGCCAGTTTCAGGGTCAGAACTGGCTTTCCATTCCAGGCCATCAAAGACTTGACCAACATGGCCGGGCACTTGTCTGGGAAGTCCTATCGAAGGAAGAGGGTGAAGAGATATAGAGGGATTGTAGATGTGCCCAGAGTCAGCCAATATCAAAGAATTACTTCCTTTTGGGATCGTTTTGGAGGTTATTTTTACTGATACTGTGCTTAGTCCTTCGGCATTTGCTTGGGGAAGTGGTTGATTCAACGTTGATTTTCCGAGAGATGATGCTGTGCAAATGTCACCATGCTTCGCGCAGAGTCATGCAATGCCATGCCAGCACTCAAAAGATGCAAATGTTGTCAAGGCCAAACCCATGGAACCTCCTGTGTCAGAGCATCCTGTCGCAGTTTGCATGAAGGTCTCCAATCACATATCATTTCATACGATCATTCAATCCAAGCTGGAAGTGAACTCCTCATTTCTGGTATTTTTTCCCATGGTTTCCCACTAATTAAGAAGGGAGATGTTCCAGCCAACCTCAACCCTTACAACCTTATGATTTCGCTGGACTGAGATCTTCAAACTCGTGATTGAGTCAAAGCCGCAACGTGACCTGGACAAACAAACGGAGGCAAGACATGGCAAGACAAAAAATGGATCGGATCTATAATGGATCATGGATCTAAGATGGTATGGTATGATCTCTATGATCTCTTCAAGATATACCAAGATATACCATATATTATATCCATATATCATATATTGTAATATATATATATATGATATATGATATATCCCATTCCATTGGCCCTGGCCGGGGATTATCCGCAGAAAGTCGCGAACGGTTCCTGAGGTGAGCAGATGAAGGCCTCCATCACGGCCTTGAGCAAACGTATTGCGACCGTGGAAGAGAAACTTGGTTGTGGCGGGGAAGGGCAGATTTACCTGGCATGTGGGCAGAAAAAACATTGGAGCAGAGTCAGTTTGATGTCTTATAATATTTTATGATTACATAAAAACAATCTAGAATAGTTATATGTATATATATTTATATATCATTATATATCTATATTGTCTATATTACTAATATTTGTGAAAGTGGCACCGGACTTGCGCCGCGATCAATCTGACATTGAATGTGGGGGGTGCAACCAAGGACCTTTCGGAATCTCAAGGCAGAAATTGATAAAAAGACTGGGCACAACCTTGGCGCAGAGTTTGAGGACGCTCGGCTGCATAGGTTGCCACAGGGCCAGAGTGGATCGTGTCTTTGGCTACTTGGGCTTGCAGAATTTGTGAGGGCTTGCACTGCTCGTCAGCTGAACCGGCAAAGATAGTAGGTGCTCACAAACAATCCAACCTCTAGAACTCTTGGATTCACATTTGACAAAAAGTGGTCCTGGCTGCCACAGTGCCATGGATTTTGACAGTAAGCCACTGGACAGCAATCTCACCTTGCAACCATGATCCCCCAAAATGGTTTAACATGTCCATTTTCCAATAACAACTAAGGGAAATCTCCTTTAGCGCTACAATAGGCTATATATTGTCACCAGTATGATCGTGTTTGTGCCATCATTATTTGCACCATAATGCTATACTAATACTACGGTACTTAAAGATTGACATTGTAGATTATACCCTCTGGTAAACTAACATAACTATGGAAAATCACCATGTTTAATGGGAAAACTCACTATTTCTATGGCCATTTTCAATAGCTACGTTAATCATTACCAGAGGGTAAGCGCCCCGAAAAAAACACCAACACGTGTGTGCCCTCTATTGTCCTCTCAGGCCATCAAGAAAGAGCTGGCGGACATGCACGCCACGGCTCATCGGGATACGGACCGCAGAGGGAAGAAGCTGGCGGATTTGCATTCTGACATCGAGCACGTGCACAAGACTGCCAGTAGTGGTGGTGACATCAGTTGCTTGCTTCAATTCAACTTGCTTCAGTTGAGGACTTCTGAAATATTCCCGGGATGATGGATGCCCTGGAATGCCTGGTTCAAACATGTTCAAACTTCCGTTTTCCCCCATGCAGCATGAGGCGATTTTGAAGTCTTCCGAAATCCTTTTTGATGGCACAAGCGGCCAATAAAGCAGCAGTTTACATCTTTTTTTCTTCGGACACATTGCGGGAATTGTGCTGGCAGAATAACATCAGTTTCTCCAACGTGCTGGTTCTGGAATAGGCCTGTTGTTTTGTTTCATGTGAGGTGTCGGGTGCCAAGAATTGTTCCAATGAGCAGCCCACTCAACACCTCACACCCTGGATCAACAAGTCTACCGCTGGGCCAGCTGAGTCCTTGTTTGAAAAACCCGGCATTTATGCTATAATACTATACATGCATTTAAGCAGTTCAACCTTGCTTTGACACCTATTAAACCTATTATTAAAAAACATGCACATCAAATGAACATTGGCTCAAGTTAGTTCAGTGCTGTCTGAATTTGCTTCCCCATTTTTTGTTATGGCCAAAAAAAGCCCCATCGTTGCGGTTAGGTGGAGATCTGGATAGCCTCAGCAAATCCAATGAGCAGGTGCTGGATCAGCTGACCAATCAACATCAGAGGAGCGCTATGGTTTGCCATGGTTTGCCATGAAGACATGGCGGAAAACCTGAAAAAACAATACAAAAATGGGGATAGATAGGTAAGTAACCTGAAGCCCCAGCTACCCGCACTATCACATCACCAGCATCACCCGGTGAGGATGTTTGGTGTCTCCATTTTTGCCATCGCCTTCATCATCATTGCTGGGCTGTCACTGTACAACAAGCTCCTGGCAGCAGTTCAGCGCGTTACTGAAGATCTCGAACCTGTGCAGATTGGTGCAGAACCCGTGATATAATACACCCCCCAAATCCCCTACTAGTTACGACTGTAGACCTGTTTTATATTAGGGGGAAGTGATTATTGCGGCAGCAACACATTACCCATTGAATCACATTTTTTTCTTGTTCAGAAAAGGCTCCAAAAAGAGGAGGGATAGTGACGGAGAAACCTTTTTGAGGAACTTTGGGGCATGTTAAAGGTGCACTTAGCATGTCAGGAATGCTTTTTCAATGTTATCCCTTGTCCAACTGGCAGGTTTCGATGTTGGGAGAAGAAGCACGTCCTCTGAGCGTGGTGCTTTGAGAGGTTTTTGCCAGGTGAGTTCGCAGTTCAGCATTGTTTAGGGATGTTTCAGGGATGTTTGATGATTTGATTGTGAAAAAAAGCGTCCCTTCACTGATTCCTTGAAGTCCAGTCCATTGTCCTGGCCATGCAGATCGTTAGCGCGCAGCTTACGGATTTTCCACACGCAGCTATGGCTATGGGAGAATAGTGTGGGATCCACAGGGATCCACGGGGTATGTTGTCATTGTGGATGCGGTTGCAATACTGCCAATTGGTCTCCATTGTTTGGCGAAATGTTTGGATTTGTGTCATATTTTTTGCCATGTTTTGCACCATTTTTTGCCCATGGTTGTCCCGCTTGAATTTTAATGGGCATGGAAACGGATTATAATCGAGAACCAGTTGTTGTGGTTCCTTAATTACGTCATTGGTGGGCACCGCGACACTTTCATGTGCACATAAACTTACAACTCTACTGGCCGCTACCTCCCCTGCAGTTCGTTTGCGGAAGATCCTCCTCGGTGTCACTGGCAGAAAGCGTCCACGCGCTATGCCACTATGGAAAGTCTATGGTAGGTTGGAGGGAAAAAAACAAGCAGTGCAGCAGTGCGGTCGCAGAGTGATGTTGCCATATACTAATCCCTTCCCCCTATCACTAAACGGTCCCTCGCTCCCCCCGAAATAATCCAAATAATAGGCACATGGAGGAGTTTTTAGTATTACTGTAGGGGGTATTTAGTATTAGGGTGCGAAGCTTCCCCTAATATTAAATTAAAACACCCTAATATAAAAAGCTAAACTTTCTATTTCAGAATCGATTAGATTTCCTTGTAAAATCTAATCAAGTTGCCAAAAATTGGATTTTGAAGCTTTCCCGTAATATTAGATTAAAAGCCTTAATATAAAATACTTTGTTTTCATCGATCTTAAACGACGGACCCTAGTAAAACACACGCCGGGGTTGACTAGTTTTTATTATTAGGGGGTGAAACCCTGAAATGGATTGAAATGGGACCTTCATTTTAAATTGTTTTCGAAAGGGTATCCATTAAAAACCAAATTGGCCAGTCTGAAATTTCCCAAGATTTAAAGCAGACCCTAGTTTTTTAGTATTTGGGGTACATTTAGTAAAAGGAGGTGGGGATTATGATTATACCAGAATCATTGGCTGGACTTGTGCTTATGGTAGAAGCATATATAGTAATTTTCAGCTTCCAACTTCCATACTACCATATATTGGCCTCAGTGTTGTTTGAAGATCATTGAAGATCCATTTCTTTCCCAAGTGGTTTCAGAAAGTGTACAGTAAGCCCCTTCCTTTCAGGCAAATTCCTGATGTTGCCAGGAGCGAGTTGGTCTACCCCAACCCAGTGAACGTTTTATTTAGCTGGCCGAACTTTAGACGAACTCACAAAGATTTGGACCATGAATGCAATAGTTTGTAAAGCGGGACATTTATGAAGTTGTCCCAATTGTTTTTTCAAGTTAGTGAATCATTGCAAGTTTAGCCAGATAACATGGTCACAAATTTGCAAGTCAGATCATAAAACATTTTTATGAACTTGCTGGCAACAATCAACCCACTTCCTCCAGTTTTTTCTCGACAGATGTGAGAGATATGTCAGAAGGAAAATTATTCAAATCAACTGAAACCTACAAACATTTGCCATTATGTAGCCTTATTGCTTCTTATATTCAGTAACATTGCAATTTTACAAAATGGATCCAGCCGTACCTTCCGAAGCAGTGTTTGGGGTATGCTTTGGGGGCTTAAGATGGCTTAAGTACCCTTTGTGAAGGCTTTGATGAAGCATGTGGATCCATTTTCTTGAAACAAGAAGACAACATGCTTAAGTAAATTCTCCTCTAAATCAAAGATGTGTAAAAGCCACGATGAGTGTAGATTATTAGAACCTTGGGTTCCACCATGGGTTTTCCACATCTACCCTCCAATCAAACGTGGTCTGACAAATCCCATTGAGTTCGATTTTCCAATTAAAAACATCTATCGAGGATGTTCTCATATTTTCCCATGATTTTTCCATGTGTTTTTTCCCTATGTCTTATAGGGGGTCGTCCAGGATTTTCACCTTTCATGACCAGAGGGCGCCGCAGGCCGCCGCTCGCGTGGCGACCTCCCGTGCAGCAGCTGCTGCTCGGTTGGGATTGGGGTATATAATTACCCCCTGGTAAACGTTTACATCACTATGGAAAATCACCACTTCAAAAAGGTAAATCGACCATTTCTATGGCCATATTCAATAACACACTATTAGTTTACCAGAGGGTAACTATCCAAATAAGGTGCCATACTTCAGGCTGAAGTGAATTATTGATAATTTCAGAGCCTTTCTGAACTTATGGACAAGTCCATGAAACATGTAGGTCATCTAAATTTCAGGGCTTGGTAAATGTCCTAAACATCACCCAAGTCTTGGGAAAGATCATCTCCAATGGAACATTGAAGGCGATGTTCCAGATTCCAGATCAGTTCCATGTAGTTAGAGGAAGGGGCCCCCAAAAAATCATAGTGCCATGTCGGACTTACCCATAGTTCACCAGCAAACATGGGGCTTAAACAACCAAAAGAAATGGTGATTCCACCAAGCACAATCATCCAAAATGGAAATTATTTGTTTATAGAACACTTCCTGCGGAAATGGGGAAAGAGACAACTGTTCCCTTGATATGTTTGCAAGATACAACCTAGGGTAGTATCTGAATGTAGGTCTATGATGAAATTGTGTTCATCAACATATAATTGACCGATTAGATACCGGGATATTCATCAGGCAGCCTGATGATTTGTTCTGGCTGTCAGTATTTGGAACCTGTGGAGGTGTCGTTATGAAAACAAACTGATCAATGCTGGTTGGTGGTTTCAAACATGACTTTTATTTTCCATAATATATACCAGTAGTACCGCACAAGGCGGTGGCGGAAGTTTCAAAAATAGGAAACCTATAGGAGAGGTTGGTTGTTGTGAATCAGGGATGGCAGAGCGAAGCCACTGATGGAACGAAAGGTGATTGATCTCTCTCACTATTTCTCTCTCTTTCTCTGACTATCTAAACCTAACCTACCTTCTTTTGTTCTATCTATCTATCTACTCTATCTAATCTATCTAATCTATCTAATCTATCTAATCTATCTAATCTATCTAATCTATCTAATCTATCTAATCCTAATCTATCTAATCTATCTAATCTATCTAATCTATCTAATCTATCTAATCTATCTAATCTATCTAATCTATCTAATCTATCTAATCTATCTAATCTATCTAATCTATCTAATCTATCTAATCTATCTAATCTATCTAATCTATCTAATCTAGCTAATCTATCTAATCTATCTAATCTATCTAATCTATCTAATCTATCTAATCTATCTAATCTATCTAATCTATCTAATCTATCTCATCTATCTAATCTATCTCATCTATCTCATCTATCTCATCTATCTCATCTATCTCATCTATCTCATCTATCTCATCTATCTCATCTATCTCATCTATCTAATCTATCTAATCTATCTAATCTATCTAATCTATCTAATCTATCTAATCTATCTAATCTATCTAATCTATCTAATCTATCTATCTATCTATCTGTCTGTCTGTCTATCTGTCTATCTGTCTATCTGTCTATCTGTCTACCTGTCTATCTGTGGTGCAGTGTCATTCAGTGTATTGTAGTGTAGTGTAATGTAGTGTAGTGTAGTGGAGTGTAGTGGAATGTAATGTAGTGTAGTGTAATGCAGTGTAGTGTAGTGCAATTTCCTGTAGTGGAGTGTAGTTGTGTAGTCGTAGTTGTAGTTGTAGTGTAGTGGAGTGTAGTGTAATGTAGTGAAGTGTAGTGGAAGGTAGTGTAGTGTAATGTAGTGTAGTGGAGTGTAGTGTAGTGGAGTGTAGTGTAGGGTAATGTAGTGTAGTGTAGTGTAATTAGTGTAGTGGAATGTAGTGGAGTGTAGTTGTGTGGTTGTAGTTGTAGTGTTGTGGAGCGTAGTGTAGTGTAGTGGAGTGTAGTGTAATTTAAAGTAGTGTAGTGTAGTGGAGCGTAGTGTAGTGTAATGTAGTGTAGTGAAATTTAATTTAGTGGAGTGTAGTGGAGTGTACTCTAGTTGTGTAGTTGTAGTTGTAGTGTTGTGGAGTGTAGTGTAGTGTAATGTAGTGTAGTATAGTGGAGTGTGGTGTAATGTAACGTAGTGTCGTGTAGTGAAGCGAAGCGGCGAAGCGACATCTGAACCTCCAAAAGTGGTCCGAACCCCTAGTGTTTTGTACATTTTGACTTGCAAATGTGCTTCGCGCCACAACGGCGTGCATTTTTTCGACATCTCAACTTCCAAAAGTGCTCCGAGACCCTCAGTTTTTAACACTTTTTACTTCCAAATGTGCTTCGCGCCACAACGCCATGCACTTTTTCAACATCTCAACTTCCAAAACTGCTCCGAGACCGCCAGTTTTTAACACTTTTGACTTCCAAATGTGCTTCGCGCCACAACGGCGTGCACTTTTTCGACATCGCAACCTCCAAAAGTGGTCCGAACCCCTAGTGTTTTGTACATTTTGACTTGGAAATGTGCTTCGCGCCACAACGGCGTGCACTTTTTCGACATCTCAACTTCCAAAAGTGGTCCGACCATGGTGTGTTTTGTACATTTTGACTTGCAAATGTGCTTCGCGCCACAACGGCGTGCACTTTTTCATTCTCTCATCTGGCCAGATGGCTCTGCACCCGCTGCTTTAGCGAGCCTACTTTAAGACCCTCCGGAGCCACAAATCATTGGAAAAACACAGTGTTTCGCGACTTTTCTACCTTTTCGCGCACCTGGATCTTCTTTCTTCTGCTACTTATACTCTTCTCTCTTCTACTCTTTCTCTTCTCTCTAAGACTCTAACCCTTTCCATCTCTGCTTTTCATCTGTCCATATTGTCGGAAGTTTGACTTCTAAACTTCCTTCGATTAATACATTGGATAATCCTTCCCATTGACTTTCATATTTTTCAAGATGGTTAAAACCACCAACCAGGATCTGAATATCATGATGAATTCTGATGAACTGATCCAGAACAGTCGGGAGATGTGATCCTCGGAACTTGGAATCCGGCAACAAACCCCGATTGCTTCAGCAAGTGTTTGAAGCAAAGGAACATATGCAACTTCATTAACGCGAAACCTTTTTTGAGGGGTTTTGCGAACATGACACGGCAGGAGGAAAACATAGGTTCTAGCTTGAATCAAAATTGAAATCACGAAGAGTCGGCCACTTTGAGTTTTATTTACAAAGGACCCTACACTTGTGAACTCTTAGGGGCGCACACACACACACACTAGACAAGAAATGGATCATTGAAGTGATCCGTTGGGAACTGAATCCCCTCACATGCAGTTAGATTAGAAACAATGACCTAAGGTCCGGTTCTTGGCTTAGCCGGTTGCCATTGACGATAAACTGGAAAATTGCAGGTACGTTTGCACGACGGCATAGATGGGTCTTCGTTGGCCCGTGCCATCTATGCGTCCACGGGCGCCCTGCAGAAGTTTTACATCTGTTCAGATGTTACGCACACACACACACACCCGGCCGGAGCCGGGTCAACCCTGAAAGGCAAGAGGAAGAGAAAAATCGGACACAAACGACGGGCAGAAGGCCAAAAACAGCGCAGGGGAGGGAAGGGAACAAACGGACCTCCAGAATCAACCTACACAGCGAAACGGACCTAACCAGCACAGGACACATTACAGAGGGGCACGGGGGAGATTAGGGACCGAATGGGGGACTAGTTTGTGACGAAAAAGAAACCAACAACATAAAATTAAGGGAACTCAGTTCACTCCTAAGTAATCGTGCGTTACTCCCAAAACGGGACCGTGGTCGATCAAGCCACATGGGCATAAACGGCTGTTCAAGTTCAAGCGAATTAGATGCACGAAGTGTTTAACCCCACCAGAAAACAATCAAAAGAAAAGTGCGCCACACCTGGAAGGCATGCACCTGCCTGGATCATCTGTCATGTTGCATGTTGCATCAGAAGCTTGAGCATCAGCCAAAAAAGAGGTTTCTGGCTGTTCGGATCGGCTTCACTAGAGTAAAGATGAAAGTTCCAAGGTGTCGCAAAGACAGCAGGAGCGGCGAGACATTGTAAAAAGTGGAGAACGGAATGGCCAACTATTTCACTTTACTTAAACGAATTACCAGATTAAAATGTGTTAATTCGGAAGTCAGGTCTGTCCTCATTCTCCCTAAAAAGGGATGCCTCAAATGGCTCCATGGCACCATGTCGGAGTCACCATGGAAATCACACTAGACAAGAAATGGATCATTGAAGTGATCCGTTGGGAACTGAATCCCCTCACATGCAGTTAGATTAGAAACAATGACCTAAGGTCCGGTTCTTGGCTTAGCCGGTTGCCATGACGATAAACTGGAAAATTGCAGGTACGTTTGCACGACGGCATAGATGGGTCTTCGTTGGCCCGTGCCATCTATGCGTCCACGGGCCCCCTGCAGAAGTTTTACATTTGTTCAGATGTCACACACACACGTATGTTGATGTCATAGGTTCCTGGCAAAAGTATGACTTTGTAAGGTCGTTTTTGTTGTTGGATCTCATGTTTGCGTATTTTGACGCCAAGATACCGGAAAGCAAAATTAATACGAATCATTTTAGTATGCTGTGTAAACATGTGCAAATGCGCTGTTGGCATTGTAGCAAGATTGTCTCACAATTCATGTTCAAGTCTTTCCAAGCGCATTTTTTCATCATTCAATCTGCCATACTCTCAGTTGCAATTGTGAGAGTCTTTATGACAATCATGTTTGATTGCCATATGCAAGTCTTACCCCATCCCACCAGCATTTTGGATGGAAGTACTCCGCAATCATCTCAACATAATCTCAACCTAATTCCACATAAACTCCGAAGAATCTCCAAATGGTCCCCCAATAATCCACAAATACTCCCAAATAGTTACCAAAATCATTCCCAAACAAAAACTCCAAGCAATCCAGCGATTGGTAAATGTCGTGCTTTGGTGATTTTTGAAATAAATTTAATTAAAATAGTTGGAGAATTAATATGAATTAACTATATCCCCAATAGTTCAAAACTTGGATGATGTTCAATTAGGACATTTACCAGCCCCTGTTTCAAACCAACACATTATCTCCATTATGTCGATGACATCCCCATTTGAAGTCATCAAATCATGCATAATCAGGTTTTCCTGTTTTTGATGGTTTACCTTCATTTATAAGGGATTGAGTCGATTGCCCATTTTTCTTCTATATTCCCATATGTTATAGGATGTCATGGGGGGATTTTCCATTGCCACGTGGGATTGCCGTAATCTCCATGTTTCCCACCGTCCCAGGCTGCCGCTGTGGCCGCCGTCCGGGAGCTGTCCTTCGCAGCTGGAGGCGCCGCGGCGCCGGGCACTTCGCCGGCCCATCCGTCGGCCAACGCCGCGGTGAAGCGAGGCCTTGGAGTGTTGCCCCTTGACGGAACTAGAGCAACATCCACCAGGCTTCCATGAACCTATGGGGTTTCGAAAAATGGGGGATCCCCAAGTCACCTATTAGGCACCTATGGTTTCAATACTAAAATGGTCTAAGGTACCCTCATTTTAGGAAACCCATATGGATTTTAAACAAGAGAAACGTAATTAGATGATATATAAAGTATGATAGATAGGGATTTGATTTGATTTGAGAAACTGAAATGGTGATTTTAACCATCCAAGAATGGTGACTTGTCTGAAAATGTGGTCAAATTGGGATATAGTCATAGTGGGATATAATGAGGATGACCTGGATGAAATACAAGGACCTCATGTCGCGATGTCTCTGGAATGATGGGAATCAGATTGGGGTAGCTATCTCCAACTAACCAGTCGCAGATTTCATATTGGTGTATTGTTGGTGAAATATTACAATCTATCAAGAATGGTGGGGTATACAGTGTGCAGCTTGAGTAGTTTTTGTTTTTTTTTTTTGCGGGGATGGCCAATGGATATTGAAAATCTGAAAATATAGTAAAATTGGGGCTCAACATGGGTCAACATGGGTCAACAAGGGTCAACATGGGTCAACGATTTAAAATTGGGCTTGAAATCTGTGAAATCTGTGAAATGTCTTTCACACCCACCAATTGCAGAAGTCCAGCACCCCAGCCCACCTCAGCCAAGGTATCGCGCCGGGCGTTTGCTGACGCGGCGTCGCCAGGTCTTGCGGTGACGTGACCGCCTAAAAGATAGAATAGTTCCCAGTCCCAAACACGCGACTGGGAAAATTACCATCAACTTCCCATTCAAAAATTACCACGATTATGTATAGTAATGGTGTTTGTTAAGTCAGTTCTTGTGTACCACTGATAGCTATCGAAATCTAGGAAATCTGGTTATCTGGTTCATTTCTGTGTGATTTTATCATTCATCATGGTGACTTTCATCACGAAGTTCGCCAGGGGCAAGCCAAGAATGCGGTTCATCTTCAGTTTCTCGATATGACATCTACTCGTTGGCTGACAGAGCTATCATATTTGGACCGGGGGAACCGTCCCAAAATGAAATAAATCATTCATGAATCAAAAAAGATCATTCCAAAGTATACCCAGGATATCCTCTTATTATTTTGTATTATTATATTTCATGATATTTTATGGCAAAAAAAGGTCATAACTAAGATATCCTATTCTTATTTTGTATGGTACAACACCATGGCTTTCCGGTGACGATTTTCCCACCAATCCAATGCTGTCGTAGGCGGAGAGCCATCCCAGCTGGAGATGTTCAACGACCGTCATCCCTAGTGACTCGGCGTCAATTGATGGGATGCATGGCTGGTTGGTGGTTTGGAACATTTTTAATTTGTTCCATATATTGGGAATAATGATCCCAACTGACGATTTTTTTTCAGAGGGATTGAAACCACCAATCAGATGGGCCCCTGCGGGGGTGGGTGACGCTTCGTGGGCAACCCAGGTGCTGTAAACCTATGACCCGCCGTGCAGTGCCGGAGTTGAGCCATGCAGAGCCTCGGTTCAGCGTTTTGTGGCATGACGTGGCGACATTTGATTTGGATTTGCCATGAATTGTCTGCCTGTCACCCTTTTGTTCAGAGGTTTAACGGCTTATTTTGGATTCAGAGGTTTTGGATATGTCAAAAGATGTCAAGAGTCTTCACACATCCTATCACCCCTATACATTATTATCATTGTCTCATTGTCATAAATCGCACACGGTGAAGTTCCAACCCCGGCGACTGGCAGTCAGGTTAATCACATCTGTGTGAACGAGCGAATTTGTTACGTGCATGCGGCTAAATGCAGCGCGGGAATGGCCTCGTGTCTCGCAAGTGTTAGTTCGAAAATCTGGCAAGTGTTTGGAGAAGAGTTTCTTGGAGAAGAAAATCATGTTTACCCATTGTTTACCCAACATTTACCCATTGTTTACCCAAACCGGAGATCTGATGAGTCGGATGGGATTGCTGTGTGCTTTCCATCCCTGCCAAGATGAGCCCCGTTGGTTGGTAAATCGAAGCGGCAAGAAACTCATCTCCACACTGGCCAGGTCAGTTACCCACAGAGGAAACTCCAAGCTTTTCCAATTCACAAAGTGCCCCAAAAAGTGAACTTGGAGCCTGAAAGTCGTTGATTGAAAGATTATTGTCAGAAAAACTTCCGTCTCTGGTGCTCCGTTTGTTGTGTTTTTCCCCTCACCTCAGGCGTACCATCCATGCGCATAGAAGAATCATCAAATCTAAGCCCAAGCCAAGCGCAATAATGAGGGATTTTCATCACAAGATGCTGTGGGTGTCGGTGTGCCAGATTCTTCCCGTATACGCGGCGTGATATTCCACAGCCTGCAGACCTGATGCTTCCACGGCCTGCAGACCTGATGCTTCATGCGTCGGCCGCGGCTCGAAAAAGTAGCTCGTTGAGAAACGAGGCAGTTCCATGCAAAGCTTTGGATGCAGCAGATACAAAAAAGGAGTGCGGTCAGCATGCAGCAAAGGGATGCAAACTGCAAAGGAATGCAAAGGGCATTGAGACATACTGGGCTCACAACCTGGCCAGTCTTGAAGCAAAACTTCCAATTGGTCCATATATTTTGCCGCAGTTTCTGCAGACTTTGTGAGAATGTTTGTAATGGATCGACATGGTACACTGATAACATTTGACAAACATATGTTCAAGTATTGGCCGCACTAACACCGGAGCCATCCTGCTAATGATTTTCTTTCTTGCTGGATTCTGTGTGACAAGAGGCTTTGCATTTGGCATTAGAAATGGGATGATATTAGGGTATGGTATGTATGTCTAGGTCTATGTATGTTAGATTCTAATCCCATGAGGAGCCTGTAGACTAGTAGATTCTTCGGAACACTTTGACCCAGGACAAGTTTTGGATTTCACAGGAGAATCATTGTGCACCCTGCCCAAACACCAAACATTGCGTAACGAAGTTGCTGCACCAATTGCAACCCCTATTTCTCACAAGGAAAGCATCCAAAAATCCGACTAAATACCTGAGACATGGGCAAAAACCTCAATCCAAAAAGGGCATGTTAGTAATATTTAGTAATTAAGATGGAATCAACATGGACATCAGTGACATCAGCCCGACAGTTTGAGCAGCTTAAATCACATAGGGATAGATCAGCTCAGGTCCGGAAAGCCTCACGAGACAAATCAGGAGCGTGCGACGAAAAAAATGTGGAAAGAAATCCCAAAGAGTGAGGCAAGGTACAACAAAACACCAGGCATGTGACTCGGAATTGGGTGTGTATTCTGTAGATGTTCATGATGATTTATGATGTTAACATGTCGGCTGTAGATATAGACCAATTTGATTGTAGATATTTTACAACACATGTCAGATGGCTTTGCCTTCCTACGACCTCAAAAAAAGCCGTGCTTTTTTCTCGTCCTTTTTAGGGAGAACTTTGCATAGGAGCCACTGACCATGCCACTGGGTGCCAGTGTTGCTTGTCTGCAATCTCCGATGCCAGATCAGATGTGCTGTGGATCTGTGGTAGGTTTGGATTAGTTTGGAAGATAAGTTGTTTTCCTTGAAATGTGGATGACTATAATGTAACATGGAACAATGATGAATGTATGGAATTGCATCAAGGCCATCGAAAATGACTGAAAATAACATAATTATTACTTAATCAACACAGAATTTGTATGTATATATATGTGTGTGTTTTACTATATGATATTATGTTATACTGTTATGCTATATTATATTCCATTAAATTATATTGTATTATGTTTTATTTTTTTTATATATTCTATGTTGTGTATATAATGGATTATCGCGTGATGGGTATCTATCTATATATATATTATTATATATGTATTATGAATAATATTATATATATAGATAACAGCTTATATAGATAACAATATATTATTTATATATTTATATATCTTTAATATCCCTCTACACAACGTACAACCTTTTTGAAGATAACATTCATGTTGGAGTGACATCTTCAAAAAAGGCTCAGGATGGAGGCGTTTGGGCTCAGACTGGAGTGCGTCCTTGCGTCCTGGCGTCTCGCCATTTGAATAAATTGTCTCAGGACATCACTGGATTAATTGGATCAACTTGAAAATCAATATCAATTGGATGGAGAATATGGATGGACATGTGACACATGGATGAAAATCATTATCAGTTGGATATTACCTCTCAATATGGATGGAGAATGATAGAGAGAATGGAGATGCGCAAGCAGATTTCAAAGACCAGCTGATCCATCCGAGCATTCCAACAGGCCTTTCTTGGCGCCATGGCACCATCCAAATGGGATGCAGAGCAAGAGAGACAGCGCGATATGCTTCGAGAACACTGGCTGAGGTGCCTTGGTTTGGAGGAGTAGCTGCTACAGGAGGGTAGATTGCAGCATATTGCAGCAAAGCATGCAGGATCTTAAATCACCATTAAATCACCATTAAATCACTGGTGCTTCCGAAATGGTTTTGCCTCGGTGTTGGACGGTTGCAAGTTACTAAGTTTGCTGCCCAGCCAGTTGTGGGAATATGTTCCTCAAAGGCGGGCCTCATGGAAGATCCAGGCCATCTTTGATTGCCAAGAGGGTAACCTGTCACAAGCAGCTTTTGAAGATGAGTTTCCTGTGAGCAAGTCCCGGACTTGCTTGGGTAACCCATGGTGGATTTTTTTGTTGAAAGCCAGGCATGGGTTCTCCGAGTTTTTTTTTTAACGTATACCCTTTGAGGTAAACAAACATAGCTATGAAAAATCACCACTTTGAATAGGTATCAATTATCAATGGACCATTTTCAATAGCTAGCTATGTCAAATTACGTAACATAGATGGGAAGGTGGTGGGGGCCCACACCCAAGCGTCACAGGTACTTCTGCGAAGTGGATGCCGAGCGCAAGCAGCTGTTGCAATGGCTCCTGGGGGAAGGACGGAAGCTGAGAAAATGACATGACAGACAGTACAACCAATGGTGGTTTAATGGGACTTAATGAGATTTAACTAGGGATTTCAATATCATGCCAATAGAATAATCCCTTCCCCCTAACGTTAAACACCCCCAAACTCCACACAACTGGGAAAAATGGTTGATGTTTTTTTTTAAAGGGGGATGGGATTAATAGAGGTACAGGTAGACCAATCAACAAAACAGCAGGCACAAAATGTATATATATATATAAGCAGTATGTTAAACAAATAGTGTCGAATGATTATTAGCTCTGAATGTCAACGAGGTTTATTCTGGCTGGCTGTTTCGAAGATGTTTTATATTGTAACTAATCATCCTCAAAAATGGAGCGATCCACTGTTTTCTATATGTCAATGTGTATTTGCCAACATGTTCCAGTTGAAGCCACCGACCAGCAAGCATCAAAATATTTCGGTGAAGAGTGCCCTTTGCGAATTGTTGGCATGGAACATCGTCCCCATGTTTTGTTTAGCACGCAGGTGCCCAGAATTGGCAGAGAGCTTCTCCAGCGAAATGATATATGTTTTACCACGGCGATAGTCGCGTGATTGTGTGTGAACAGATTGTGACTAAAAACCTTGGGTTTGCAAGTCTCCTCATCCATTTCCCATCCAATTTACGTTGGTTTCCATTCACTTTCCCTCATCAAACCTCATCAATCGCCAGTCGGTAATTCTAGCAACTCGGTAATTCTAGCAACCTCACAGCGATCTCAGCGCCCTAGTTCTTCCCAGATAGAACATTATAGAACCAGCATGTGGATCCATAAAAGCCTCATTTTGATAGGTAAACCATGGGAATCCCCCCAGATCAACCCCAGCGGGTTGGAAATTCCAGGACTCACTCGTCCCAGTGGTTTTGAGGCTCGCCTGAGCCATGCAGAGAGGCTGAGGCAACTGGGCAACGAGTGCCTTGATCGAAGGGTCCCTTGTGGATAAGTCGTAGCAGGAGTCGTTTTCATGTGGTGCACCTTGGTGAATGGTTGATTGGAGGATTTTGTTCCACCAATCCAGGAAAATGCTTGATGACTATATATGTTTTGGTTGATTGCGGAAACACTCCAACATGCGTTTCTCACCGCGAAAGAAGAGCTCACAAGCAGTGGCATTGTCTCCAGAATAGATCCAGGTATATCCAGGTAAATCACATATATATATATATTATATTCCATATAGGTATATATAATATATTATAAAACATAACATAACATAACATAATATAACATAACATAGAATAATTTAATATGACATATATTTAACATAATATAATGTAGTATCAGTTTAATATAATATAATATAATATAATATGTATATGAATATGTTTATATATATATACATACACATTTCCATATAATTATAGAGAGAGAGAGCAGAATTGCAATTTTTGAGACTTCGACACTTCAAAAATCATGTTTGCACAACAGGCCAAGGTGAGGGCCCTTTGCGAATCCAGGAATCCACCGCCCAGGTGGTATCGGAAGCAAGATTATCGGCGAGCTCTTCATTGCAACTTGCTGAGAAGCCGCAGAAGGAAACATGCAGACTATGAAAGACTTTGCTACATGAGCCTAAAAGTCCTTGATCCAGTGCCTTTTGATGGATTTTGGATGGTTTTTCGGTAAACTTGTTTTTTGTTGCCTGCCGTTCGCAGATGGTTTTTTTGGCATGACGGTCGATTGTCGCTGAGGTGGTCTAGGTGCGATACATACCATTGACTTCAGCCCTCAACAACAGTTGTCGATGGATGAGGAACAGAGGTCACCAAATTGCAAAAGATATGCTGTTTTGTTTTCCCAGAACGTTTGGTGAATTGTGCTGCTCCTATGTGTTTTCTTTTAAACATAATTTCAATAGATAAATATGTATGTAGGTATCCGGAATCCCTAATAATTAGGGAAGACAATTTTATATAGAAACTATGAGATATTGCGTTTTGTTTTCCAGAATGTTCCAAAATATATGTGTTTTTATTTTTTTCTGTTCCACAAAATCCACCAGTTTGATCCAAGGTTAGCCTTGGTGAGTCTGTTGCTGCCCATTCTAAGCAATCTGTCGCAAGTCTTCTTGAAGCTTGGCGGCTCTCAGAGGTGGCACTGGACAGCGCATAAGGATACTCAATATCATTTAGCAGGATACTACACTTAAAGCCCTAAAAACCAGTTATATATAATTGCTTATAATTGAATAATTATAGATTCCAGAAATGCAATTAAAACTGACTTATAACTGAAAAAGGGCCATCACTGTATATTTTTTTTCTTCGTATCTTTGGCGAAAATGGTGAACATGACTTGGACTGGCTTTGTGATTCAAAATGCGATGTTGTTCCCCACCTGCCAGGTGAGGGTTGTTAGATTTTATGTCAGTTGCCTCCTCCTCCTGCCTCGTCCTCCTCTCGTCCTCCTCTCCTCCTCCTCCTCTCCTCCTCGTCCTCCTTGTCATCCTTGTCGTCCTCTCGTTGTCCTCGTCGTCCTCGTTGTCCTCCTCGTCCTCCTGCTCAACTGCGACTCGCGATCCACAGTGTGCGCTGCCGGACCTCAACCACGACCATCCACGCCCAGTGTTCCCTGCCGGACCTCAACCACGGCCATCCACGCCCAGTGGTCCCTGCCGGACCTCAACCACGGCCATCCACGCCCAGTGTTCCCTGCCGGACCTCAACCACGACCAGCCACGCCCAGTGTTCCCTGCCGGACCTCAACCACGACCATCCACGCCCAGTGTTCCCTGCCGGGCCTCAACCGCGAGTATCCACGCCAAGTGTTCCCTGCCGGACCTCATGTAGGAAGATATGGGACAAAGAATGTGCAGAAGAAAGTTAGAAAGAATGTCAGAAAGAATGTCAGAAGATATGCCAGCAGATATGCCAGAAGATATGCCAGATAGAATGCCAGATAATATGCCAGAAGATATGCCAGATAGAATGCCAGATAGAATGCCAGAAGATTTGCCAGATAGAATGCCAGAAAATATGCCAGAAGATATGCCAGATAGATGTGTCAGAAGATATGCCAGAAGATATGCCAGAAGATATGCCAGAAGATATGTCAGAATATATGCCAGAAGATATGTCAGATAGAATGCCAGAAGATATGTCAGAATATATGCCAGAAGATATGCCAGATAGAATGCCAGATAGAATGCCAGAAGATATGTCAAATAGAATGCCAGAAGATATGCCAGATAGAATGCATCAGATTTGCCAGATAGAATGCCAGAAGATATGCCAGAAGATATGCCAGAAGATATGCCAGAAGATATGTCAGATAGAATGCCAGAAGATATGCCAGATAGAATGCCAAATAGAATGTCAGAAGATATGTCAGATAGAATGCCAGAAGATGTGCCAGATAGAATGCCAAATAGAATGTCAGAAGATATGTCAGATAGAATGCCAGAAGATGTGCCAGATAGAATGCCAAATAGAATGTCAGAAGATATGTCAGATAGAATGCCAGAAGATTTGCCAGTAAGAAAATGTATAAATGTCATGGTGGGGATCAGAAGTAAAGTAATTTTTTTTTATCCTCAGTTGTGATGATTATCCCTGTATTTATATAGATGATACATGTCAAAGGAATGGAAGACAAACCATGAGGACCATCATGAGGACCATCATAAGGACCACCATAAGGACCATCATAAGGACCATCATAAGGACCATAAGGACCATCATAAAGACAACAACAACGACGACGACGACGACAACAACAACAACAACAAGAACAACAACAACAACAACATCAACAACAACAACAAGAAGAACAAGAACAAGAACAAGAACAAGAACAAGAACAAGTACTACTACTCTAACTCTCACATTTGCATTCGTGAAGCTGACCATTCTTTATGTTTTTTGGGAATATCATAGGTTGTTTTAGGTACACATCTTGTGCAAGCAGTGCTGGCAATACCCACACTCAATTTGATTCTGTTTTTCTCCCCTTTCATGTTGCTTTCCAAACTTGTACCGTTTCTATTGCACCTTCCTTCTTTTAGAAGGTGCACAACCCCCAACAGGTTTGCTGTCCATAGCTCGGAGGGCACTTTGCTCCGTGCTAGACAACGTGTTCCACCACATCCAACTCCAGCTGACAACACAGCTCAAAGCTTGTTGAAAAGTTCGAACTGTGCCACGGGAAAGCATTTGACCATCCTCTGGTAGGTAGGAGACCGCTCTGGATCCCTTTCCCTCATACCGGAAAGATGGTGGCAAGTGAACCTGTACAAAGGGATTTGATTTTGCCGGGTATCCTCGGTGTAGCTGAAGCCCAGGGGGAAGGTCTGCTTCAGTGGCCACGTGCGGCCGCTTCGGTTCATGAACCCCACCTGCATCAGCTCGCTGCGCCTGCCAAGCAAATCTTTTGGCTTACAGGAATGAGGGATTGGAAACTATCCATAACCAAGAGTCCATCATGTAAAGGGTTTATTTTACATTATCCATGAATAAAAAAAGGCCTCGGTTGTAATCTGTGTTTATTTACACTGATCTCTTTTGTTTCTGAACAACAATCCTTTCAGCATGCAGGCTATGCTGTCATGTGGGTGGTCCTGTCATGTGAGACACCAAGGATTCCCTCAAACAGACTTGAACAAAGTTTGGAGAAACCGTGGGCAGACATGAGTCTGCAAATTTAGATAAACGCCTTCTCTGGTTTCGAATCCGCATCATCAGGTTCTGGGTCTTCCCGTTTGGGCTCCTGAGCGAGCTGGGATCAATTGCAAGCTTAGCACTACCTCAAGGAGATTCTTGATAATATGTATGATATAGATATAGAATTATCTTTATCATCTATCTTTCCACACTAAAAGATGATGTCTAAAATGGTCTGAAACGAAAAACATATCATATGACCATATCACTGTTTTAACGTTCTGTTACCCTATTTGGTGGGCCACTATGAATCAAGTCACCTTTGAGGGGGGAAGGAGCTCACCTGGTTACATGAATCTAGCTTATCTACAAGCTGGATCCCTTAATCACCTACGCGCAGGAAACAGGTGTCGGTACGCGCGCAGGAAAAGAGATTCAATGGCGCACATGCATGCATCCTCCCAGGTTAACAGGGGTGGGAACAGGAGGGGTAAAGGGGAGGGCACGGGAAGGAAACCTAAGTGAAAGCAACCTTTTGGTGTCTTAATTAGAAGAACAAGGGGGGAACAGGGAAACAGGGGGGGAACATGGTAAGGGGGGCAGAGGAAGGGAACAGGAAGAAAACATAAAGAAAAGTAAGCTTTTGGTACGTGTCTTAATTAGGGGAACAGAAAGGGACAGAGGAGAAGGGGCGGGAACACGGGAACAAGGGGGGAAAAGGGGAACAAGGGGGGGGACATAAGGCAAGAAGGGGAGCAAAACGCTTTTATACACAGAAGCTTTTACTGAGCCTACAGACGCCTTTACACACAGACGCTCTTGCATAGAGATGCTTGTACACAAAGACGCTTTTAAACACAGAAGCTTGTGCACACACAGGGGCAGAACAGGGGGACAAGGGAGGGGAACTGGAAGGGAACAAAAATGAAAGCAACCTTTAAGTATTTCCTCGCCGCCTCTTCCTCCTCCTCCTCCTCGACTAGCTGTCCTCCTCGCCCTCCTCCTCGCCTCCGCCTCTTCCACCTCCACTTCCGCCTTGCCAACCTTGCCAACTCGTCGCCAAGCGCTTCGCCAACTTCCCAGCTCAGTGCGCGCTGCTGGACCTCAACCTGCGAGCTGCCCAGCTCAGTGTGCACCGCTGGACCTCAACCTGTGAGCTGCCCAGCTCAGTGTGCACCGCTGGACCTCAACCGGGGACCTGCCCAGCTCAGTGTGCACCGCTGGACCTCAACCGGGGACCTGCCCAGCTCAGTGTGCACCGCTGGACCTCAACCCGGGACCTGCCCAGCTCAGTGTGCACCGCTGGACCTCAACCTGTGAGCTGCCCAGCTCAGTGTGCACCGCTGGACCTCAACCGGGGACCTGCCCAGCTCAGTGTGCACCGCTGGACCTCAACGGCCAGATAGGAGGCCAGAAGATATGCCAGATGGAATGTCACATAGAATGCCAGAAGATATGCCAGATAATATGCCAGAAGATATGCCCGATAGAATGCCAGATAGAATGCCAGAAGATATGTCAGAAAATATGCCAGAAGATATGCCAGGTAGAATGCCAAAAGATATGCCAGATAAAATACCAGAAGATATGCCAGATAGAATGCCAGAAGATATGCCAGATAGAATGCCAGATAAAATGTCAGATAGAATGCCAGAAAATTTGCCAGTAACAAAATATATAAATGTCATGGTGGGGATCACACGAAGTAAAGTAATTTGCAGTAATTTTGGGAACAGGGGAAAATAAGGAACATGATGTTAATGATCATGATGGTCATGGTGATGTTGATGATCAAGATGACATTGATGATCAAGACAACCGATGATCGTGATGGTTTTGATTATTTTGTTCATGATGATGATGATGTTAATGATGGTCATGGTGGTCATTTTGTAGTTGATGATGATGACGATGATGATTCAGGTGATGATGGTGGTAAGTAAGAAGTTGATGATGAGAATGATGGTGATCATGATGGCCGATGATGACGATAATGATGATGACGATGATGATGGTGATGATGATGATGATGAGGAAGACAATGATGATGATGATGATGATGATGATGATGATGGTGATGACGATGATGATGATGATGAGGAGGAGGAGGAGGAGGAAGACAATGATGATGATGATGATGATGGTGATGATGACGATGATGATGATGATGATGAGGAGGAGGAGGAAGGCAATGATGATGGTGGTGATATGGTGATGGTGATGATGGCGATGCAGACGATAATGATGATGATCGTGGTGGTGATGTTGGTGATGTGTCTGCGGTGATGATGATGATGATGATGGTGGTGATGATGTTGATGATGATCATGGTGATGATGATGATGGTGATGATGATGATGATGATGATCTTGATGACAGGACATCCTGCGCTCACACGTATCTGACCATCCTGTGCACCAGCGAGCCAAACGCATGCACAAAGCTACTATTATTGAGAGGAACTGGAATCAG